TGAGTGTTTACTAAGAGTGAGGTGCTGTGCTAAGCAATTTCTATGCATGTTTCCAATTAATTCATAAAACAAGCCTATAAAATAAGTGGTTTTTAAAAAAAATTTTCACTTCACAAAACAAGAAACCACCAATTTACTAAATTGTGAAGTCAGAATCTGAACCCAGGCAGGCTGACTTCAAAGCTCAAGCTCTTTTTTTTTTTTGAGTTGGGAATCTCCCAGGCTGGAGTGCAGGGGCAGGTTCATGGCTTACTGTAGCCTCAAACTCCTAGACTCAAGCCATCCTCCAGCCTCAGCCTCTTGAGTAGCTGGGACTGATACAGGGACCATTTAATGTCCCTCCATGTTGCCACAGCCCCTAGAGAAGGGCATGGCAGGGATTCAGGCACTCCTGCACATTCCTGAGCAGATTACTGAGAATCCCCTTGTATTCCATGCACTCCCAATAAGTAGCTTCAAGGGATCTGACTTTCCTGCAGACTATGCCCGAGATGTAAATCCCTAATTACTCCCTTTCTTTGAACTATATAATATCAATGTAATCATAAGTCTTGTGATTTGCATAACTTTTGCAACACATGATGTCTTAGGTCTTGTAAACTTTCTTTACTCTAAATGTCACTATCTAAATGTAAAATGTAGCTGTAACTTAAGTTCTGTACAATGCTCTGCCAGTCACATGGCTAACGTATAGGTACCTAAAAGTGAACTGTAAAACCCTAGAGGGTGAGCAGAACCATTTTAGAAAGACCTCGAGTCCAGCTCTGCTCCCTGGATTCGAACTCAGAAATAAACTTCTTTCTACCAGTGCCCTGTCCCTTTGATTTATTGGTATCAAGGGGAGAAGCTGAGCATTACTCGGACTATAACAGGACTACAGGTTCACACCGCCATGCCCAGCTTATATTTTAATTTTTTTGTAGAGAAAAGATCTGGCTATGTTGCCCAGGCAGGTCTCAAACTCCTGACTCAAGTAATCATCCTGCCTAAGCCTCCCAAAGTGCAGGGATTACAGGCATGAGACACCACGCCCAGCCAGAGATCATGTTCTTGACTTCTGACACTCACTCACTTGTTTTTGGACCTCAAATGGCATAGACACTTCTCCATAGTACCCCACAAAATTGTATTTCTTCCTTTTTAAAAGTTGTTCAGCATTCTATAAAATTAATGTATTTAATTCATTTAGTCATTCTTATACTGACCAACTTTTAGGATTTTGCAGTTTTTCATTTCCTCATTTCATCAAATCTAAGAGTCTATTGATTGTAAGAAGCATCCAATTTCAGAGAGGTTACAATGTTTTAAAAGTGCATCTTAAATTAATACAGTATTGTATTGGAGATGAAGGTGCAAATGAAAGGACAGACTGAGAGAAATGCATTGTTTAAAATCCTGTTCCTAAACCTTTATACAATGATGAGAAAGTAGAAGCTATGTTTTGGAGAAATGCATATTTTAGGAAAAATTAACCTTGCCAACTATGTCTTTTCAGAAACACAGACTTCCAGGTATCAGAGGTATCTCATAGTGGCAATCAAGCTTGCCTAGAGTAAAGGGAATTTACAAGGCCTAACACATCATGCATTGGGCAAGGATTGTAAAAGTCATGAAACTTGTAATCACAAAAGTTATGATTGCTCAGAGGGGGAGCAGTTGGGGATTCAATCTTCCAGTAAATTGGGCACTGTCTACAGGGAAGCCAAGGATCCCCTGAAGCTACCCACTATGAATGCATAGGAGATAAGGGAAAGTGCACCCTCCATTAGCTCTAAGGAATGTTGTTTGAGAAAGTGCAGGAGCACTGGAATTCTTGTCACACCCTTCTCTAGGGGCTGTGATAATGTGGGCGGACATTAGGGGGTCTCTGTGTCCCAGGATCTCTAAGACATCCACAGGTGATCAATTAGGAAGTCACAGCAGTCACGTCTACCTGATTGCAACATCTCCAGGGGAAAGGATTTAAGCCAGGACTTGGGGGGCTACGGGGCCACACTCTTCTAGAGTGTAGGTCTGCTCCCTGTCTGTGGGGAGTGAACTTTATCTTAAATAAATCTTTTCTTCTCTCACCTCTTTGTGTGTTGCAATTCTTTGCATTACTTGTATCTCTGGGTTATCAGCACACACCTCCAACACACTGGCTCTGGCAGTGCCACGCCCCTGCGCCACCCTCTCTGTGCCTCTACCCTCACCCTATCCATGCCACAACAGCAATTGAGCATGTTGTAAATAATTTTCATTTGTGTATCTCTGTAGAAGTTTCCTAGAAGTAAAATTGTGTGTCAAAATGAAGATGCATTTTTTTTACTTTTAATTTAATTTAATTTAATTTTTCAGTTGGAGTCTCACTCTGTCACCCAGGCTGGAGTGCAGTGGCATGCTCACCACCACTGCAGCCTCGACCTGCTGGGCTCAGGAGATTCTTCTGCCTCAGTCTTCCAAGTAGCTGGAACTACAGGCGTATGCCACCACGCCCGGCTAATTTTTTGATTTATTGTAGAGATGAGGTCTTGCCAAGTTGCCCAGGCTGGTCTTGAGCTCCTGGGCTCAGGCAATCCTCTCATCTCAGCCTCCCAACGTACTGGGATTACAGGCGTGAACCACCAAGTCCTGTGCATTTTTTATTTTGATAAATATTCCTGTCCCTCCAGGAAAATTATCTTAGTCATCTGTTTTCCTCATTTCCTCAGCACAATGTCTGGTGTTTTGTAGGTACTAAAAACATGTTATAAACCAAAAATAAAATCCTGAGCACCCAGCTGAATGAAAGGATACACCCTGGGCCAAGGGAAACCTGAAAAACTAAATCCCAGGCTATGATGGAAAGGGAGGTCAGACACACCTCATTATATCCTCCCCTCCCGGGAATTTTAGGCACATTAACATTAAATTAGAGATCATAAGACTGACAAGACAGACTCTGTAGCAATAAGTTACCAAATTCCAACCTGATCCTAGTACAGCAGCATCAAATAACAAATAGCAAGCTCCAAAGGAAATAAAGATATTTGGCCCCAAAATATGTTTCTTTGACATATTTTGAAACAACCCTGCAATGCTGTCTCTTGGGAAAATTTGCATCTGTTGAGAATCTCCTTCCCTAGAAAAAGTTCAACAACTATTCTCTTGGAAGGCTGCTACTTAGAGTCTTTGACTTTCACAACTTCCCTTACCTTAACTCAAGCATTTTTTTCTACTAATTTAAAATTCTTTAGACAAAGTTTAATTCTTTCTACCAATTGCCAATCAGAAAATCTTTGAATCCACCTATGAACTATAAGCCCCCACTTCCAGACCCCAACCAATATTAACTTCATATGTATTGATTTATATGTGTTTAAAAATATTTTTTTAAAAATAACTTTTGTCTTCTTTTAAAATATATAAAACCAAGCTATAACCCAACTACCTTAGGTGCATGTTCTCAGGACTCTTGGGACTGTGCTTGGACCTTGGTCATTCATGTTTGGCTCAGAATAAACCTTTTAAAATATTTTACAGAGTTTGGCTTTTTTGTCAACCATGTTCAGTGGGTGAAATGCATGACCAGGCCCCACAGATGTGAAGTACTTTGAGATATTCACATTTTTTTAAAAGAAAAGCATGACAATGACTAACAGATTAGAATATTTTACTTCCTGCTAAAGCACTGACCACAGTAAATGACAAACATTAATGCACTTTATGCATAATATGTCAAAAGTGATTATAAGATATCTTGCAAAATTGCCTACCAAAAGGCTATGCACTCAATTTAATAAAAATACACTAATAGCTTCAGCATTTCACAACCCCCAAACTCCTAATGCTAGCGGGCTATGGTGTGTTGCTCCACGGATTCTTTGACTTCCCCACAGAAAAGTGTTTCAGAGTGAATCCCATGTATAGTTTAAGACAGAATTTATCACAAAGAGACCTGCCCAATGAGCATGCATGCCCTAAGAGAAAGGACATGTGCTTACCTTTAACAATCTAAGTTATGTACTTTTACAACCATAATTAAGCAAACCATGAGCTAAGAGCAGTGGACTGCAAAGATCTGGCCATGAGTTTTGATTACCATCTCTTCATCTTTGATGAGCTAAAGCGTGTTACCATCTCTTCATCTTTGATGAGCTAAAGCGTGGGTGGCAGGTGTCTGGTCAAGAGTTTTGACTACACTCTTACTCAACCTTCTAAGGAAGGTCACAAAGACCTTCTAAATAGCTATTCCTTAACTAGATTTGGGCTTTTCTTAGAACATTATGTCTGTGTTTGGGGTAATTCCCTATTGTTTCTGTGACTTACTGCACTGGTAGATCCACATTCCAGCCCTCAAGGTGGTCAGGTCTGGTGTGCCTAGTTGGTTGGGTGAAGGTTGTGTACTGATAAGATGTGTGAACACTTTCCCTGTTTAACTGCCTACCAGAATCTTATCTGTGTCTAACCTGCACTGAATACCCTATCTCATGACTAGATGTAAGATATTTCCTGAGATCTTATGGTCTGCCATCTCCTAAAACACGTGCAAGACTACCTGCATCCCCTGACCCTAACTAATCTCCAGAAATTATGATTGGGCAGGTCTTCAGTGGAAACTGCATTGTAAACCCTCCAGGGAATTCTCATGCGCTCTAAAGCGCGAGAGAGTACTTCATTAAAGGGCTTTATGAAAAGGAGTTTCTTCATTTTATTTGCACTTTGGAAAGATCCCGTTGGCTGCAGAATGTAGAATCTACCGAAAGGGGGCAAAGATATCTAAGGGGCGTCTCAGGCCAGAGCAGCCCAGAGGACCGGCGCGCTGGGGAGCCCCCTGCCGGTCCTCCGGCTGCTCTCTTCGTCCTAAGCCGGACCCTGCGTGACCGACTGCGACTGCGCGCTCCCAGGCCAGTGAAAGCCGCCCAGGAGCGCCAGCGGCCGCGCCGCTCAAAACCGGAAGCGGAAATGAAGTTGAATCACCCTCGCGCGCTTTGCCGGCCGCCGCCGCCCCCACACCCTGGGCTGGACCGAGTCGAGGAGTCGCCGGAAGCGGAAGTGGCTAAGGGTGGGGGAGTTGTTGAGAAAGTGTCGGGTTATCGTCTTACTCTTTGGGTTCGCTCCGCGGCTTGCCTGGGCAGGTAAATCGCTATTGCGAGACCTCGGCGACCTCGGCGGCTCTGCTGACTCGGCTGCCGGCTCCCGGCCCCGAACCCTCGCCCGAGGGGCGTGGTGCCCCGGTGCTCCGGCTCTTTCCCCGGGCTCCTTGTGGCCCCCTGGTTCCGGGCGACCCCTGCCACGGGTGGCTTCCCGTGTCCCCGCAGACCCCCACAATGGGCAACACGAGCAGTGAGCGCGCCGCCCTGGAGCGGCACGGTGGCCATAAGACGCCCCGGAGGGACAGCTCGGGGGGCGCCAAGGACGGCGACAGGCCCAAGATCCTGATGGACAGCCCCGAGGACGCCGACCTTTTCCACTCCGAGGAAATCAAGGTGCGGGGCGTGGGGGAATCCGATTCCCCTTGACTGAGGTTGGCGGGGGAGCACCCTCCGCCAAATTCCCGCCGCGTCCCCTTGGAAACCACCAGGGAAGGGGCACTTCATCCGGCGCACTTAAAACCAAGTGACCCCGTAAGAGCTCGCTTAGCAGTCCAGGAACCTGTGTCTAATTACCGATATGAGAAAGTCACCCCGAGGGAGGAGGAACTCACTTCGCTTAACGTCATTAAGGAGAAAGTAGCTCTGGGACGGTCTCAGGTTCTTAATTAAGAGAGCGGAGGTAGCAGTAATTGAGCCCCAGCCTCTGCTTTTCTCTGGGTGCAGTTAATCTCATCACCGAGAGCACTCTTCCCTCACCTTTACGCAGACTGGTGCCTTTGTGAAAGGTGTTTTTGGAGGCAAAACAGAGCTCACGTGGAAGCTGAAAGTAGAGAACAGCTGACCGCAGTTGCCAGAGGTGTTCAGCTGTGCCTGACGCTTTTGGTTCACTCTGCTTATTTAGAAAAGTCACTCGATTTCCGGAGGTCAGTGGGTCAGCGTAAAGGAGGCAACCAGCAGCCACTTAGCTTCTCTCCCAGGTTGTTTAAATGTAACTTAAGCAGGCCAATGCAAACATATTTGCAGGACAAATTTGGGCCTCCTGCTGCAGTGTGTTTAAATTCATCAGGTGGCTCTTGACTCCTGCTTCAACCACATTCCTGTTAACCACCTTGATATGTTTCTAGCTGCAGGTCCTAGTCAAGGCCACTTAGTGGCTGATATGTATGTGGGATATCGGAAAAGAGCTTAAAAAGTAACTTTAGGAAAGATGAAGGTGCTTTCTGCCCAACATATGCAATTAATACCCAGTTTCATGTTAATTCTCATTGTCCATTTCCATTCCGCTAATTGTCTGGCAACTCATTTCTCCATACTCACATTTTTCCTCATATTGAGCTGGGTAGTAACATCACTCCCTCACACCTTCACTTGCATCTAAGTTTTGAGTCAAACTCTAAAGAGCCTGCTTCTACATCCAATGATTTGAACTTGCTTTCGGAATTTGCTGCATTCTTGAAAAGTTGTGTGCTTGTGAACTTTAGAATGAGGTTTCTCCAATGACCTGACACCCCTTCTTCCCCCGGAGGTAATTTTGGCCCCAAGAAGGCTATTTAAATAGATAAGAATCAAACTGTTTTCTTTAAGAAATATTTGTTCTGTTGCTGTTCCAAAACTCCTACAAGAAATACTTAGCATACACACAATACATACACACTTTAAGTAGCATCTATTTCCATTTCATCAGAAATTACTGAAATCATGTAGCAGATGGACACGTGATTGATACCAAGAAAAGTCATGGATTCTTATAACTACACCAGTTCACTTTTTAGATACAGTTAGTTATCTTAAGTGTAAAGTGATTCCAGACTGTCTTTTAATCTGTAGATCTTGTTAGAGTTAGAATTCAAAGAATGCATCTTAGATAGCTTAGGTCAGTATCTGAAATGAAGGTGCTAAAAACTTACTGTCCGACTCTCCTTAGGGTCCCTCTTAGCCTGAAATTCCTGCTCTTTTAAAGTCTTTGACTTCTGACTAGGAAAAATATGTAAAAATATGTAAAAAAAAAAAAAAAAAATATATATATATATATATATATTTCACCCAGAGTTGGATGAGTTTCTCTTTTATTCTGAAATGCCTCAGTTACACGCATAGTGCTTACCATGTTAGAAGTTACTGTTTGGCTGTAATGAGGGGTCAGTCTTTGTCTTATTTCTTTTTCTTCCCGGTTCCTGGACAACACTTAGTGAATAGTTTTTCCCTTCCTCAAAATATGAATTTACCAGGCTAGGTGTGGTAGCTCACACTTATAATCTCAGCACTTTGGGAGGCTGAGGCTAGAGGATTGCCTGAACCCATGGGTTCAAGACCAGACTGGGCAACTTGGTGAGACTTTATCTCTACAATAAATCCAGACATGATGGTGCGGGCCTGTAGTTCCAGCTACTTGCCTAAGTCCAGCAGGTCGAGGCTGCAGTGGCCGTGAGTGTGCCACTGTACTCCAGCCTGGGCAACAGAGCAAGATCAATTTTTAAAAAAAAAAAAGGCCGATCTCAGTGGCTCAGCCTGTAATCCCAGCACTTTGGGAGGCCGAGGTGAGTGGATTGCCTGAGCCCGTGTGTTCAAGACCCGCCTGGGCAACTTGGTGAGACCTCATCTCTACAATAAATCAAAAATTAGCCGGGTGTGGTAGCGTGCGCCTGTAGTTCCAGCTACTCAGAAGGCTGAGGTGGAAGTATCGCTGGAGTCCAGCAGGTCGAGGCTACGATGGCCAGGAGCGGCAACTGCACTCCAGTCTGGGTGACAGAGTGAGATTCCAACTCAAAAAAAAAAGTAATAATGGATTTACCAATTTTCAAATTGACAGTTCTAAAATCGTTCCTAATAAAATTTTCATATGCAGTCATACATTGCTTAACAATGGGGATATGTTCTGAGAATGCATAATGCATCATTATACAATTTTGTCCTCATGTGAACATCATAGAGTATACTTAGACAAACCTAGAAAGTGTAACCTGCTACACACCTGGGCTATATGATGTCATGTATTGCTCCTGGGCTACAAACCTGTACAGCATGTTTCTGTAGTAAATACTGTGGGCAGTTATAATGCAACAATTGGTAAGTATTTGTGTATCTAAATGTAGCTAAACATAAAAAAGGTACAGTAAAAATATAGTATTATGATCTTTTTTTTTTTTTTTTTTTGTGAGTTGTAGTCTCACTCTGTCACCCAGACTGGAGTGCAGTGGCATGCTCCTGGCCACCGCAGCCTCAACCTGCTGGGCTCAGGCGATCCTTCCACCCCAGCCTTCCAAATAGCCGGAACTACAGGCGCATGCTACCATGCCCGGCTAATTTTTCTGTAGAGACGAGGTCTCGCCAAGTTGCCTGGGTGGGTCTCGAACCTGTGAGCTCAGTCAATCCACTTGCCTCAACCTCCCAAAGTGCTGGGATTACAGGCTGAGCCACTGAGCCCCTGAGTCCGACCAGTATTATGATCTATAGTGGGACTACTGTCGCATATGCTATGGTCCATCATTGACCAGTGATGTTCTGCAGTGCATCTGGCTTAATTAAGAGAAGAAAATAACACTTATTAAGCTAGTCTTGGGTCAGCCTCTTCCAAGTGGGTTTTATAGTTTCCTCTAGAATTTTGACGTAGGCTTAGTAAATGTTAAGTACCCACTATGTGTCAGACACTATGCAGAACATTTTACATGGACTATCTCAGTCTATTATCTACATTTTGCAGGTGAGGAAACTCAGGCACTACTAGTAAGTTTCCAAGCTGAATATGAGCCTCAGTAGTAATAGCTGCTTCTTTAAATGAATTCTATTAGGCCAGGCGTGGTGGCTAAAGCCTGTAATCCCAGCACTTTGGGAGGCCAAGGCAAGAGGATTGCCTGAGCCCAGGGGTTTGAGACCAGCCTGGGCAACTTGGTGAGACCTCATCTCATTAATAAATCAGATAATTAGCTGGGTGTGGTGGCACGTGCCTGTATTTCCAGCTACTTGGAAGGCTGAGGTGGAAGGATCGCCGGAGCCCAGCAGGTCCAGGCTGCAGTGGCCATGAGTGTGCCACTGTACTCCAGCCTGAGCGACAGAGTGAGACTCCAACTCAAAAAAAAAAAGAATTCTATTAGAGTAACTGTCTGTTGTAGGGAGCTCACTCTCAGCTTCCTGTCCTGAGTAAACCACTCTGCTTCTAGGCTCCAGAGAAGGAGGAATTCCTGGCCTGGCAGCATGATCTGGAAGTGAATGATAAAGCTCCCGCCCAGGCTCGGCCAACTGTATTTCGATGGACAGGGGGCGGAAAGGAAGTTTACTTATCTGGGTCCTTCAACAACTGGAGTAAACTTCCTCTCACAAGAAGGTAATTGCCTGGGGAGTGCTCACATATTTGTCTTAGCCATGGATACTCTTGTTTCTAAAAGATCTCGGTGGGTGAGTAGAAAAATGTGTTTCTATAAAATGAATGCTGAGTGGTAAAATAATCTTGCTTAATAATAAGTCATAGGGTTCAAATCTCAAACCCAAGCAATCTCTAGGTTTAGAGCTCACCTTTTTTAGAAGGAAGCAGCATCTCTCTAGAGAAGATTTCTGTGTCTCAGATGTGTTTCACTTCAGGTATCAGCTATGTATTCGTTCAGTCAGGACTTTTCCTCAGAAACACAGAAACCTATCCTAGTGCAGGGAGAGAGCACCAGGCTGGGAATCTTAAGAGATCCAGATTTGAGTCCACGTTTGCCATTGTCATTTAACACCTCCACCTCAGTATGCCTTTCTGTAAAAAGAGGGAATATTGAGCCCAGTGATCTCTGAGGTTTCTTCTAACTTTGACTCTCTGGGTATACATGCTAAGTAGGCATCATTAGTGAGGATATAGTAAGACACTTTATCAGGAACGCTGGCACAGACTTCTGTCTCAAGTTGTCAATGAGAAAACATCTTACTAGTGAGTACTCTTGATGAAATGAAGGGAGAAATCATGCCCTGGGCCAGGCCTGACTGTTGCTGAAGCCACCTTCTTTATAGTGGTACTCAGCATAATAGTCATGGGTCAGTTCAAGTCAAGGGAATAAAACAACCAATGAAAGAACTTTCCCAGAATCTTTTTTCAGTAATTATGCAAGTTTCTTTAGAGAACATTTGTGCCTGCAATTATATTGATCTCCTCTCTTGCCCAAAGCAAACTGACAAAGGGCAAAACCAGGCTGCTTGCTGTTTTTCTAGTGTTGCCATCCTCCTTGGCTTCCAAGGTTACTGGGTGGTATTCACACAAACTGGAGAAGGACAAATGCCTGTTTGTTGACTCCTCGTGTTAGGGATGTGGTTTCCCGGTATTTGAGCAAAGTGAGTTTTCAGGAAAACCTGTCATACTGCTGCTTCCTTGTAGCTTTTCCAGATTGAGATCATTATAATGAATTGTCTAAATTAGTTAAAAAATGTGTTCTGGAGCCGGGCTTGGTGTCTCAGCCTGTAATCCCGCACCTTTGGGAGGCTGAGGTGAGTGGATTGCCTGAGCCCGCGGGTTCAAGACCCGCCTGGGCAGGCAAGACCTCATCTCTACAATAAATTAAAAAAATTAGCCGGGCGTGGTAGCATGCGCCTGTAGTTCCAGCTACTTGGAAGGCTGAGGCAGAAGAATCGCCGGAGCCCAGCAGGTCGAGGCTGCGGTGGCCGGGAGCAGCTACTGCACTCCAGTCTGGGCGACAGTGAGACTCCAACTCAAAAAAAAAAAAAAGTGTTCTACGGTGGAACTCTTGGATTCATTTGGAAACGTTTTATTTCACAGCTGCTTTGGCAGGTGGGTTAAGGGCTGAAATCCTCTGCTTCCTTTTATTTGCAGCCACAATAACTTTGTAGCCATCCTGGATCTGCCTGAAGGAGAGCATCAGTACAAGTTCTTTGTGGATGGTCAGTGGACACACAACCCTTCTGAGGTACTGATCCTACTGCCTATACAATCCAAACAAATCACCTTCCCTTATGGATTGTTGCTAGGTCCCTTTGCCCTGCTGGTAAAAGTCCCTGCGTGTGGCAGAACTAGATAGCAGCACTAATTGTTAGACAGTTGGCATACCTGACCAAGATGAGCAGGGTGGTTAGCCAAGAGATGAGGCCTTCCAGCCAGAAACTCCAAGTCCTCTAAAGTGTAACTCCACAGACCTTCCATGTTATGATTTCTGCCTGTCTGTCTTTTCCCAGCCAATAGTAACCAGCCAGCTTGGCACAGTTAACAACATCATTCAAGTGAAGAAAACTGACTTTGAAGTATTTGATGCTTTAATGGTGGATTCCCAAAAGTGCTCCGATGTGTCTGGTATGAACACAGTTATTTTATACCACATGTGTGCAGATGGGGGCTGTGCAGTCTAGAAATAATCTTGTTTCTCTTGCCTCTCACTCTTGAGCTGAAGCTGCCCGATCAGGTGGAGGTTTTAGCTCCCTGAAGAGCCACAAAACTTGATTCCTAACTCTGTCAGGCCAGGTTGTCGAAATTTAGCCTCAAGGGAGCTGTAAGTCATTTCCTTTGTCATCTCAGGTATTCAGTAGGTCTGCTTGGCCACAGAGTGCAGACTAGAAATAAAACCAAAGCTTGATCTAATGCCAGGGGCAGGGATGAAGAGGCCCTAGAGGGTCGTGCTGAGTCAGTAACAAGCCAGCACTAGAGCAGCCTGCCAGCTCACTTCCCACTCATGGTGCCTTAAGAATTTCAGCCTGACAGGTGATAAATGAACACCTCAGTGACCTTGGCCATCACTTAGGTGGTATATTAGCACCTTGTCAGAATCCTGTCAGGAGAGAAGGAGGCTCACCACAGGAAATAGGCTACATAGCACAACTCTTCTTGATGGGAACCAACTCAACACAGTCCCAGTAAAACTTGCCCATCTTCCAAGAGTCTTTTTAGTCATTGAGGTTTCAGTAAATTGCTTTCCATCCAAACCCCCAGGAAGAAACTACCTGGAACATGATATGCACAATTCAGGAGAAGAGAAGGCTTGAAATTTGAAGTGTCAAAGCCAGTCATACTTCCCTTCTGCAGGCAGGGGCTTAAACAATTCCTGGACCCCGTGGTAGGCAGTGAAAAGATTTCCCCCAGGAGTGTGTCTGGCACACTAAGAAAATGGATTCAGTTCAGTTTATAGGACTTCATCATTGCCTGGCTGGGAATGGAACTTGTACCTCCAGGATCTCTTACTATTATCAGTTCAGAAATCCAGTGGTAAATGGACCGTGGTGGGCTCACTGTGACTGACAAATCAAATTTTTGAGCAGGACTTGGAAATCCAGAAATAGTGAGCTGTTATCTAGCTAGCTAATCTTGTAGAGATATCATTTATTTCTTTTGCAAATAGTTGGGAATTGAGGGATAAAAGAAGTGCCCAAATATCTTCCTAATTGCTGATAAACATAATTTTAGGTCACATACCAAAGCTTTTTAGTCCACAGTATAGATCACCTGGGGAAAGAAAGCTGACCCCTCGCTGCTGATAAAGCCAACTTCAAGCTCTATACAGGTTTTTCCTATTTAAACCCTCACTTTCTCACTTGTTTACTCCTTTTGGCTCAGTTCTGCACTTAATTCTTTCCTCAATTTCCTGCTGTAATATGACTGTGTCACAAAAAGGAAAGCTGTCCTCTAGAAAATGATATTGAGGGAATTGGCATAGCCAGAGCAGATCAGATTTATTTTGGACCAGCCCAGGGATCAGGCAACCAGAATTCATTCCATGGGTTCTTTGGATAATGGTGCGGTATGTTCCAGTCAGCCAAACATCACTAAATGAACTGCTTTTAACATGAAACAGTGTTCTTCTAGAAGCTGCTTAATATAGCTATGTAATCGAGATGCTCAAGCAAGAATTTGGAAAGAACTCGTAAATCATTTCTGTTGAGTGTGATGGAGTCAGAGTGTCTTTAGAAATCAGACTTTCAGTTTTGTTTTCCCTTCATTTTGAAATTTACCGTGCCTAGTATAACCTGTTTTCTCCCTTGCCTTTGTATAAACAAACTGCTTTATCTTTCGTTTTGTTCTGGCTGGCAGTGCTCATAACTTGGACTTAGCCTCGAGCTTCCTTGTGATATTTGCCAACCCAGCCTAAAATGAGAAGGAAGCATTATTCTGCCATGGCATGTAAGGTTATGTTATTGAGGACAGCTTCCTTGTTACCTGACCAGACTCTCTGGCTGTACCATGGCCTCTGTCTTCCACCAGGGCATCTGATTTACTACTAAGTTTAATGCTAGCAACCCAGCTTCCAAAAGGCTTCTCCTTTCCTCTGCACCCTTGGAGCCTAATCTGTATTGAGGGAACGAGAGACAAGGAAAACTAGAAGACAGTGCCATAAATTAAATAAAACTGTTCCTAGAACTCCTAATTTTCAAAGTAATGTCCTATTGCCATCTCCCAACAGAGCTATCCAGTTCCCCACCAGGACCCTACCATCAGGAGCCCTATGTCTGCAAACCAGAAGAGCGCTTTAAAGCACCACCCATTCTTCCTCCACATCTGCTCCAGGTCATCCTGAACAAGGACACAGGAATTTCTGTAAGTATACGGGTGTCTGCCCAAACTGTCCTCTATGGTCACATTCAGCTGCTTCCCTTCCTGCCCACCTCTTTCAAAGCAGCTAGTGAACAGGCTCAGTATTTCCCACCAGTGTGAACTGCTACCATCTACCTCTGATGTCAGGATGGGCTGCTAGCAGGAGGTTCTAGAGTGGTACTGCCTCCTTATCTCACAAAGCCTTTCTGCATTTTTCTTCCATGTCTTTCACTCCAGCCTCAGCCTAGGCCCCATTCAATATAAATTTCATGACAAAATATATAACCATCCCTTCTTACTAAGCTACATGATGGAGCTCCTCTTCTGGTCCTCAAATTTTAGAATCCAGTTTTAATCACTACATTGCTTTTAGAAACACCAGTGCTCTTGGATCAAAGTTTGGGGTATCTAGGTAACACACATTTCCTTTGGGAGATTACTATATGTAGAAGAGAAGTGTGCATCTTCTTGGATCCTGAAGAGCAGCTAGTTGTTCCCTTGTGGTTAATTTTCCATTCCTTTTAACCTGGATTGCCCAGTCCACCTAGCCTTGGAATGCACAACACAGCCATAGTTCTTCGAAATCTGATGCTCTTCAGCTTGGTCTAGCCACCTATGTGCCAAGTGACTGTGCTGTTGCTGAGAACTCTACCCAGAAGTGGAGGACACATACTGAGACACGAGCCAAATGTGTGCGTGTACAGGCATCCCTGTAGTGTCACTGCTAGGCTGCCAGGCCAGAGTCTCGGTATGTTACCCCATCTCAACGGAATTCTCTTTGTTCAGGGCACCAGGATCCCCCCTGTGCTGAGAGTGCCCCAAGCACACACCTGATGGCTGGGTAAGCCATCCTGGTGTAGGCCAGGAAGAGGCTAGTAGTAAGGACCAGCACACCTCAGCCCCCTGGGCCCACCATGTTTCTAGCACTAAATTGGCAACATTTTAAACAGGCAACAGGTGAACTGCAGGGACATTTAGCTTCTACCTTAGAAGCACTTGGGTGGGACTTTTTCTCTTAACTCTGATTTTATAAAAATTTTTAAGTGACATTAGTTTCAGTGTCTAGCTCAATTAGTAAAGTTTTGTTGTTGTTTGTTTTGTTTCCTGGAAAAAGGAAGCACCACTAGCTGGCTTCTCTGGTGGAGACTGCTTCAGGGAATAGGCCAGCTGAGAAGTAACCAAGGGGATGGGTCAGGATCCCTCTGTCTCAGGCAGACGAAACTCCGACACAAACTTTGGTTGCAGTTACAATACTAAATGGCTTCTGTTTTTTGTGCTCTGAACTAGTTTAAGTGCTTTTCATGTGTCCTTATTTAAGCTCACAACAACCCTGTGAAGTGGTACTATTATTACCCCCATTTTACAGGTGTGGAAACTAAGACAAGTTAAGTAACATCCCAGGGAGAATACTTAAAATCCACTGCACTCCAGCCTGGGCGACAGAGTAAGACTCCAACTCAAAAAAAACAAAAAAAAAAAACAAAAAAACTACTCTCTTAGAGATTTTCAAGTATGCAATACATTGTTATTAACGGTAGTCACTATGTTGCACAATTTCTTGAATTTATTCCTCTAATCTAAAATTTTGAGACGGGCTCGTGGCTCAGCCTGTAATCCCATGCCTTTGGGAGGCTGAGGTGAGTGGATTGCCTGAGCCCGCGGGTTCGAGACCCGCCTGGGCAGGCGAGACCTCATCTTTACAATAAATAAATAAAAAATTAGCCAGACATGGTAGCATGCACCTGTAGTTCCAGCTACTTGGAGGGCTGAGGCGGAAGGATCACCGGAGCCCAGCAGGTCGAGGCTGCGGTGGTCGGGAGCAGCCACTGCACTCCAGTCTGGGCAACAGTTCCAACTCAAAAAATAAAAAATAAAATTTTGTATTCTTTGACCAACACTTCCCCCACCACCGCCACTCCTAGCCTCTGATAACCACCATTCTACTCTCTGCTTCTGTGAATTTGACTTTTTTAGATTTCACTTAACATAATATTCTCCAGGCCGGGCTCGTTGGCTCAACCTGTAATCCCAGCACTTTGGGAGGCCGAGGTGAGTGCATTGCCTGAGCCTGTGGGTTCGAGACCCGCCTGGGCAACTTGACAAGACCACATCTCTACAATAAATGAAAAATTAGCCGGGTGTGGTAGCATACACCTGTAGTTCCAGCTACTTGGAAGGCTGAGGTGGAGGGATCACCAGAGCCCAGCAGGTCGAGGCTGCAGTGACTGGGAGCGGCCACTGCACTCCAGTCTGAGTGACAGAGTGAGACTCCAACTCAAAAAAAAAAACCAAACTTTTTCTCCAGATTCATCCTCATTGCTGCAAATGACGAGATTTGCTTGCTTTTTTTTTTTTTTTTAAGAAAATTCATTCATCCATCAATGAACGCTTCGGTTGATTCCATATCTTGGCTATTGTGAATAGTGCTGCAGTGACCATGTCTCTCTGACATACTGGTTTCGTTTCCTTTGGATATAGCCTAGCAGCAGGATTGCTGGGTGTGTAGCTTTGATTATTGGAAGAGCCTCCATACTGTTTTCCATAATGCCTATACTAATTTACATACCCATCAACTGTGCACAGAGTAAATTTTAAGTGTTCTTACCACAAAAAATGATATGTGAGGTAATGCATAGGTTAACGAGCTTGCTTTAGCCATTTCACAATGTACACATATTTTTTTTAACATTTTGTACATAATAAAAATATACACTTTTTATGTCAGTTTTAAAAATTAATTTTAAAGCTTCCCAAGGTCAAATAATAAATGACTGGGCCAACCTTCAGATCAGGCAGGTTGGTGCCAGATCCTTGCATAGTTGGTGTTCTCACCAGCTACCCTGCACGGCCTCCAGCAGGGGCTCACTGGATGTTTGTGGATAGAATGACCAGCCCAGCCTCTGGGAGCTGAAGCCTAGAGCTTGGGACCAAGTGCGGTCCAGTGTAATACCCAAAATCTCCCAGTCAGTGGTGGCAGAGCTGAGATGAGGATCTGGCTTTCTTAGCTGTCCATCTTCATACTGCCTCTACCTTTCTTTTTGAGAAAACTGGTGGGATTCAGGCTATTCTCTCCCAAATCTGAGCTTGGAATCACCTCAGGGCATGCTCTGATGCGGCTTCCTAGACTCTCTCCAGCCTCTTCATTTAGAAAGATCTGGTCACACCTCCCCAGCAGCCCTGCGCACTGGGTAGATCTGGAGTGTTTGGTTTTATACGGTCTGTTTGGGACCATAAGAGGCCCACAGGTAGCCTTGGATCTTGAGGTGATTTTTTTATTTTTTATTTTTTAATTTAATTTAATTTTATTTTTTGAGTTGGAGTCTCACTCTGTCGCCCAGACTGGAGTGCAGTGGCCACTCCTGACCACCGCAGCCTCGACCTGCTGGGCTCCGGCAATCCTTCCGCCTCAGCCTTCCAAGTAGCCGGAATTACAGGCATGCACTACCACGCCCGGCTGATTTTTTGATTTATTGTAGAGATGAGGTCTCGCTGCCCAGGCGGGTCTCTAACCCGCGGGCTCAGGCAATCCACTCACCTCAGCCTCCCAAAGGCGCGGGATTACAGGCTGAGCCACCGAGCCCGGCTGATCTTGAGGTGATTTAGGACCAGGGCTGCAGAGCTTCCCACTAGTGTGGGGTGACCATGCATGCACCCTCTACCTTAAAACAGGGACCATGGCCAGAGGCATACTAGCAAAATGCCCCCACAGGGTTGTTGCCCTATACTTTCTTCCTGCTTCTCTCTCTGAAGGATAGAATCACGGCCCATTCTTGAGAAACCAGGGTACACGCCTGACCAGAGACACACACGCATGCCTGTAGCAGGCAAGCAGGGAACTCCCTCAGGCTGGAGGGCATAGAACCCTCACCTCACCCGTCATCTTGGACAAGCTCTGTGCAGCCTGACTTAGGAAGAGGGGTTGGTGTGAGAGTCTGCCTCCTTTCTTCTGATATCCAGGGTTATGAAATAAAAAGGAGAATCTTGGTTTCCAAATCCTAAATGCTGACATCTGCCTTTCTCCCCTCACAGTGTGACCCAGCTTTGCTCCCTGAGCCCAATCACGTCATGTTGAACCACCTTTATGCGCTGTCTATCAAGGTAATGGTTTGTCTGTTGTTAGATGTGTGTTTCTCAGTGTGTGCTCTGAGGACCCCTAGCAGCAGAATTACTGGGGGAATTAACTGACTTAAAGCGCAGCTTCCAAGACCTGACACAAGCCCTTGGGCTCAGGTTCTGAAGATAGGCCTAGGAACTTGTGTTTTTATTAAATCCCTGAATCATTCTCATGTACTCTAAAGTACGAGCCCCTGGCCTAGTTCTGCCTTTGATAACTTCCACCTTCTTCCTCAGGATGGCGTGATGGTGCTCAGTGCAACCCACCGGTACAAGAAAAAGTACGTCACTACCTTGCTATACAAGCCCATATGAAGAGCTGGGAGGCGGCGGCGGGCCCCAGGAAGCAATTTGCACCACCAGGCTCCATGCATGCATGCTTTCCACCAGAGGGAATGGACTAAATTTCTCATTTCACACTCTTTATAAAACATTTCACACCTGCCCTAGACCTACTTGAAGGTTTGTCCAGGCTCCACAGCTCCTGAAGAGCCTCCATTTGTAACAGTCCTCTGAGCACCCTGTGGCTTTGAGCCATAGGGTGCTTGTCAAGTCCGAGAAAGGAATAAGGAGCAGCACCGCGGTGCATGAGGCTGGTGCAGGTCTAAACCTATGTCCTCTCAGCTGGCCGTGGAGCTGCTGCTTAAGCCAAAGGCAAATACGAGCTACTTTGCTAGTAAAATTCTGGGAAGTGGGGACTGAGGCCACACAAAACTTCTCACCGTTTATGTGTTTTTAAGGCCATTACCCCTTTTGAGGCCTGGCTGTGAAACTAAGAGTAAGTACAATGTTCTTGCCTGTCCTTTAAAATCAAAGCAATAGGTTATCTCCCAGTTGTTTCTTACACTTATGTACACTAAGTACTTTTTTTAAACCAGAGGTGGCTGTCTGTACAGTCTCAAGGCAATTTGTAAGTCGTCACGACTAGACTATAGATCATATGAGCTGTGCTCAGCAATAATCTGTTCCCAGAACAGACTTAAACCCACTGCTGGATTTCTCCATTAAGCTGGATGATCCTGAGGACTGACCACTGTTAGCTGGAAGGTTGTCCGGCTTTCTGTTCCAATCGTAATGAAGTGACAGTGCTACCATGGAAACTTTGGAGAAGCACCTCCCCTTTCTTTTGTAGCCTGTGCCACCTTGCTCAGGCCCTCTGTTCCTAGTTAGCAAAGAAGGCTGCAGGAACTTGGAACGTGACACCAGTTCATTCTAAGTTCAGGTCGGGAAGACCTCCTTTGTACCAAAGCAGACCTCGTTGCTCTCTGCTCATTTTCCCAGGAGATGCCACAGATTTGCCTGTTAGCACAGATTCCTGTCAACCAGTCAGCAGAAGCTATCATTATTCCCTTTGTTCCTGCTGGGAGAGGGATGAGCTCCCTGGTTCCCAGTGTTTATTTGGTAAACCTGAGTTTGGGGTACCCTTTTTTGTTACTGTTTTCAAAACATGGTGTCACCTTGACATACACTTTTCAATAAAGCTTTGTAAAGATAATTGGACATGTGCTTAGAGGCAGCTTTGATTTTATTCAGTCATTTAGAGAAGAGACTGGAACTCTTTCAGAGGTATATTGAGTACTAACCTTATGGCACCTGAGTGGACAGGGTTGCTCCACCTGACCTGAGGGCTGAGGGCTATTCCTGTGACCACCCACTCACCAGTTTGGAAGCCCTAAAACTGAGCCCTCTCCAAGCCTGCTCAGTCAGGGCATCCCAAGGCCAGAGGTTTTGCTTCCTCTTGATCATAGTCAAGCCGTCCATGGGACTGGAGTTGTGACACTGGCTTGTGAGATCCCAGATGTTTCTGGAGTCAGAGCAGTTCTTGACTGAAAGGCGCAGTCCTTACTCGTAGAAAGGTAGAAGGTTACAGGTATTCCTTTAAGCCTTTTTTTCTTAGGCATCAGGAAACATTTAAAATAAATTTAGCAGAAAGAGAAGGCCGGGTGCAGTGGCTCACACCTATAATCCCAGCACTCTGTGAGGCCAAGGTGAGAGGATTCCACCTGAGCCCGCGGGTTCGAGACCAGCCTGGGCAACTTGGTGAGACCTCATCTCTACAATAAATCAAAAATTAGCTGAGTGTGATGGCGCATGCCTGTAATTCCAGCTACTTGGAAGGCTGAGGCAGAAGATCGCCTGAGCCCAGAAGGTCAAGGCTGCGGTGGCCATGAGCGTGCCACTGCCCTCCAGCCTGGACAATAGAGTGAGACTCCAAACAAACAAAAAAAAAGCAGCCTGGAAAGTACTCTAGGCTGGATAATTCTCATCTTACCCCCAAAACCCGAGTGTTACAGGAACTCTAGGGATTACTAAAGACTAAGGAATAGACACAACAATCCCCTTTCCAAAATGGGATAAAATGTTTGAAAGTACATAGACAAGCTTAAAGTATAAAAAAATATACAAACAAAAAGAAATAAGCTATTGCCCTGTTGGTGAGCTATGAACATAGCCCCTCTACCCATGGTGAGAGTTTAGGGAGAACCCAGCTCTGGGCTCAGGAACAGGGTGTCACACCTGAGCAGGAGGCTTCCTGCATGAGTAGGCCCAGAAGAGCGCTGCCCTTGATATCACAGGATCAGAGCATCTGGCTGCTGGCCTGTGTCAGGGCTGGGGAAGCTGTGAGCCCCAGGCTACAGGTGGAAACAGCCAGAAGTCAGGAAAGCCAGCATGCAAGTGAGCTTTACCCACAAGTGCAGAAACACAAGCTGAAAATACAGTATTAAAAAAAAATCTAAGGCTGGGCTCGATGGCTCAGCCTGTAATCCCAGCACTTTGGGAGGCCGAGGTGAGTGGATTGCCTGAGCACGCGGGTTCGAGACCCACTTGGGCAACTTGGCGAGACCTCATCTCTACAATAAATCAAAAAATTAGCTGGGTGTGGTAGCGCACGCCTGTAGTTCCAGCTACTTGGAAGGTTGAGGCGGAAGGATCGCCGGAGCCCAGCGGGTTGAGGCTGCGGTGGCCGGGAGCGGCCACTGCACTCCAGTCTGGGCGACAGAGTGAGACTCCAACTCAAAAAAAAAAAAAAAAAAAAATTAGTTTACAGGAACCAGTCACCCTAGCAGAGTCCTCCAAGCACTGGGACCATGGCAGTCTCCCAGGTGAGGTAATCCTGAGGTGGAGGGGAGCAGGCATACCCAAAAAACTGAGGACACCGGGGGCAGAAACCATACTCTCCAACCACATCTGTGGGAATATTTTAAAGATTTCATTTTCTTTAAAAAGCAACACAAAAGTTCCATTATGGTCCATTATAGTATATTTGATGTATAAAATGATTTTATAGAGGTAAAAAAGGAGAACTTGTTTTGCTTAATTCAGGGGGAAAAGCCACCTGTCAAATTAGGGTATCTTATGACCAAGATAATGGTTTCTCTATTAGAATTTCCTGTATGGGTGAGGATTTACACAGTTAAAAAGCATAACTCAAATTCCTTTGGAATGAAGATACATTCCCCCCCCCCCCTCTGGAAATGGATACTACAGATGAATTTGTAGAGTCATAAAATTAAGACCTGGGAATTACAAAAATGTAAATCAGCATTGCAGTGTAAATAGAAACGTTTATCAAAATATTGAAGCCAAAGATGAAAGGACCCAGGCAAGGCTATATCCCTTCCTTTGGCTTCACTTATGGGTATAAATGTGAGGGAAGTAGATAATGCTCAGAGACCAGGTCACAAGCCTGGTGTGATCATGTCTGAGAGGACTATTCCCCCACCATCCCTTCCCTCGGCAAACACTGGTCAAAGATCAGGGATGTTGATCCAGTTCAGTTGATGACTGGCTGTGTGACCTTGGACCACTCATCAAATCATCCCCCTTCTGAGGAATCCCTCAGCACCTCTCTTGACCAGCTAATCTGTGGAGAAACAGAAGCTTGGAATGCTGACCGTAATTGTCTTTAGGAGAAAGCAAAGAAGTTAGCCTTGTATACATCTTTTCTAAAACTCAAGTCATCCCAACTAATTGTAAAAACAGCCACAGGGTCCTCCTAAGAGTCATCATCACTGACATGAGCCAACCCTTAGAAGATCCTTGGGGCCCAGGTGCTATCTCCGGTAGGAACCACTGGACTCCGACCTCAGGGTTGGCTCCCACATAACTACATCATCTTGTTTGTCTTTCGTCCAACTAAAAGGCCTTTGCCTGGATGAGGATGCCAGCCAGCCCTTACAGATACCTTCTCTCCTCCAAGAGTAAATTCACTCATCCACCTGAAAAGTTCGACGGCCAATGAGAACACAGGAGATGGCTCCAGATGTGGGTACCCTAGGTTACACTGCAAGACAAATGTTGACCGTGGTCAGATGACTTTATTAGAAAATTGTTAAAAATTCTTAGTTTTTCATTTTTTATAGCTCTTTCCCTTTTTGTGTGTGGCTTTCTGAAAGACAAGTCTGAGTAGTAAAGTTACTTTCAAAGTTCCTTTGTCTACCTCTAATAACCCCTTCAGGACAAATAGAGTTCCAACATTAGGACTATATTTCCACTACCTCCACTCTTCCCAGATTCAGGATATAAAGCTTCAATATTTGATTAGGCAAATATTAAAATATTTTTCTCATATAAACACTGCCTGGAGCCACAATCCCCATACTTTCGACATCATTAGCAGTAATTAAATTGCCAAGGAAGAAACTGACTAAAACTAGAACAGACCAAAGTTTCTCAACCCTGGCACTATTAAAGCTTGGGCTGGATAATTCTTTGTGGTGGGGGGTGTCCTGTGCATTGTAGGAGATCGAGCAGCATCCCTGACCTCTACCCATTGATCACTAGTATCCCAAGTTGTGACAACCAAAAATGTCTCTAGACATTGTCAAGTGTGCTCTAGGAGGAGGGAAGCAAAATCTCCCCGTGGCTTAGAACCACTGGAACAAGCCAATTTATCTTACGAGTAGAAGCTTAGCTGGTCTTACCCCAGTAGGCCCACCCTTAACGCTTTAGACTTAAATCTGCATGAATATTTTCTAAAGCAAATCACACTCAAGAGGCCAATTATTATTATTGTAGTTATCGTTATTATTATTGCTATTTTGGTGATAAAGTAGGAGTTAAGACAGAAAAACTCCCACAGCAGAAGGGGACCTGAAAGAAGGTAGCCCTAGAGGCCAGCTCTTAAAGACAGTCCTATTAAGCAAATCGTCTCTTTTTGGCCTAAGCCTCCAAATCCTAGTTTCATGGTTATGGAATTTGCTATGCAATCATTTAGTGAAAATTAAATTGTGAGCACAGGGAAACATGACATCTAACTTTGTCCTTAAGAAACAGGAGTGGCAGCAGGAAAGGCTGGGCCACATTGTATGGGTCACATTTTATGATTTTACTCAATTGAGTAATTTGTTGATTCTTTGAGGTCATTCCTTAGGGTCCAAAGACCCTTTCTGGCTGCATTCCTTTCAGAACAAAATTATGTTTACATAGCTTTCGAAGTTCTCTGTTGCTGCCTAGAATCCTCAAGACAGTAACTGAAATGGTTGGTTGGTACTTAATGGACATTTTTCTAATGCTGTGATGAAAGAAAGGCTCCAACATTTCACCTCATCTTTTGAATTATTTTAATTCAAAAGACCATTATAGCCTTGTGGCAGATTTTATGCCCAACAGTAAAATAGAAAAGAGGAACAGAATTGCATCTAGGGTTCCCATCACAAGCAATGTCAGATGCAACACTGCAAGACAAATGTTGACCGTGGTCAGATGACTTTATTAGAAAATTAAAAAAAAAAAAATCTAAGACTTAAAGCAACAAGAAACAAGAAGAAAAAAAAATCACCGTTTGGCAAAACTGATATTAGTCTGGAATCAAGCAAGTTTATACTTACAAACTAAAAAATGAGATAAAAATTTACCTTGCAGACTATAAAAATGTATCTAGCTAAAAATAGAAGTATTTGCATTTTTAATTACCTTTTATTTGAATTCTTCCCTCCAAAGAAATCTATCTACATTATTAAATTCTAGGTGGCCTCAGCATAATAGATAAAATACATTTTTTATTTTTGTGGGGGGCAGGGGAGTGGCTGCCCCAGGTGTGAGGCCCACCTCTGTAGCACACCGTGGTGCACCAACACCCTCTAACCCCAAAAGAAATCTTAAATTGACCTGCTTTCCTGGTGGGCTGCATTATAGAACTGGGTAATCCAGTCTTGAGTAATCCTTCCAAGATGGCCTATTTGACTGGTTAAAGAGCTTTTTAGCTCTGCAGTCCTATAAGATGACCTTAATAGCCAATCCATGGTTCATTGGAAGTATTGAACAAACTTCTGCAATGTCACACTTTTGGCAGAGAACATCACCAATCTCTTAATTCCAGAACAGCAACATGTTCTCACTACTGTGTGGCTCTCCCCAAGCCACCCCAGAGGAAAAGCCTCCCCACAAAGCAAGAAGGTTTCATCCATGTCATGGGCCTGCACTGATACACTGATCTCTCTCAAGAAAAGAAGAGGTCATTGCACCAAAGCAAACATTTTTAGATCATTGCTT